TATTTGGTTACTATGATTATTCTGAGTTGTTATAATAATTGATGTTATTATTGATATGTTCACTGAAGTGAATTTGAAGACGTGAAATGAATAAGTGAATTGACGAATTACGTAAATGAGTATTAAAAATAATTCAGTGGCAAATGCACTGATCGATGTAATCGACGAAGTGTTGATGCCATCCGTATCGTTGTTCGAAATGAATTACGCGATATCGGATGAAATCTGGCATTTGCTATCGCACTTTCCCTATACACTTCGCTATCGAATTTATGCACACTGGAAAGGTGTTATGACCCAACGCCATTCGCTGATCAATGTTCAACGCGGTAAAACGCTGGGTATGACTCGATATGTTGTGAAGTGAGTTGAGATTCTCGATTTATCACTGCGCAGTTCGTTGTTATTGTGAGCGTAATGTGCAATTACTTGAAGACGTTTGTCGAAAGAAACTGTTCGAATGATGGGACGTCAACTGGGCAAATTGTGTCATTCGCATCCAACGGTCGTATTCGATTGCCTGCTCAATCAGGTTAGTGATTCGTCGAAAATTGCGTTCGATAGAATTAATCGTTTTTGTTATTTTACAGTGATGATTCGTTTGTTTACATATACATTTGTTATGAATTTATAATCTGCACTCATGAAACATTATTGGTTCTCATTCGTTTTCTGTTGCAGATTCAAACATTTGAGAACTTAATCGAACCAGTCGTTGAATCGATTCGTTTTCTGAGTGATCTCGAGTTCGACGTTCTCTCGTTTTGCATCATCGAGCATCTTGCTTCACCCGATAAACAACAACTGAAGGTTATTTTCATTTCATTTGCGAAAAATGGAGTTAGCAACTCCATTTTTCTGTTATTAAAACATCTTTTTTAAAAAGTTTTTGTGATGTAGATTTTGAAAAGTAATTGTATTTGTAAAACAAAAAGGATAATGTTTTCGTTTTAGTGTCATCATCGTTGGGTTTCATTTTCATCTGTTATTTTACCTCTTACTGATCTTATCTTTGGATCTGTAATGTTCTAGGCATCTGACGGTAGTCTTTCGCCGTGGTTACAGTCGTTGGCCACATTTGTTGGAACTGTATTTTTAAAATACAACATGGAATTGACGGGTATTTTGCAGTACGTCGCTAACCAACTGAGAAACGGCAAGAGGTGTGTATTTTGCATAGAAGTTGATTTGTTTATTATAAGTGTTTATTTAATTTCATTGGTTTTTATCTCGACTTCATCACGCACCAATCAAACGATGTGGTGTGTAGCGTATTAATCAAGCCAATTGCTAGAGTTTAAGATTTGGAAAGGTGACTGACTGTAGTGGTTCATTGGGTGGGGAGGGAAGTGACATCCTCCACTTTTATTCACTAACAGCAATTACCGGTCCCACGGAAAATGAGTCTCATTATAGGAGTGATTATTTTAAAAAAGTTGTAATTTTTTTGAGTG